CAATTAGTACAATTTACCTTTATTTGGTTGGGTTCTAGTTTCGTTGCTTATTTTCAATAATATACACTCAACATCTTCAATGTTTGGCCTCTTATTTGGAGAATCTTCCCAACAATTTCTATAAAGTGTAAGATACTCATTATGAGTACTGGCAATGTTCTTTTCTCTTTATCTATTATTTACAATTCGTAATTTTAAATCCTGAAGATTATAATTGAAATTCTTAAAGGGTTCATGCCAACTGGTCAACTCCCAAAGTATAATTCCAAGACTGTAGATATCACACTTTTTGGTATATTCAATGTTATTTGGGTCTTTAAGTAATTCTGGTGCCATAAAAGGAAGACATCCTATATGTTTATTATTCTTTTGATTTTCAGAATGTATTGAGTTGCCAAAGTCTATTATTTTGGCTCTTCCGTGAGAGATTACGATATTTTTATCATGCTAAAATATAATAGAATTGTAATAATATTATATGTGTGCAAAATTAAATTTGTAAACAAAACTTAAATTTTCATTATACTAGAATATAATGATTTACCAAATCGCATGAATAACCTGAATCAGATCAGAATGCAAATAGACCAACCCACTTGTAATATTGTGGGCCAACTGTAATTGTTTCTCAAAATCAGGTTTATTTTTCAAATAATGCCTTAAATTACCTTCTTCTGCATACTCCATTATAATATAATAAATGCTATTTTCCTTGTCTATGATTAATATACTTATTGTTAGAAAAAGTATTAATATCAGGTTATTGTATAATAATATTTACCTTCACTAACGCCTATAAACTTGATTATATTTTTATTCCTTTTTAAAGATGTTATAAAAGATGTTATAATATTTAATTCATGTTTAAATTCATCAAATTTATTGTCAAATTCTTTATAAACAATGTATTCTCCTTTATCTAAATTAAGTGCTTTTTTTGCGACGTCTATAATGGCATTAAAAAGATGAGAACATATTTTATATCAATACAGCAAGTGAACATACCAGATGTTTCATCAATTCTTTCTATATTAGTTAATTTTTCATATGGTATATAGGTTATATTCTGTTCTTCTGTAATGCTATATCATCTTTTTGGTTGACTAACTTTATTATTTAAAGAATTATAACTTGCAAAATGATCATTCAGCACTTTTGATTTAAGATCAGAAATTCGAGGGTAAATTTGCGCCCAAGATAACCTGTTGCATGGTTCTTGTTCTCATACTTAATTAAGCATAATAAATTAGCATAGCAGGCTTTATTGTGATTGGTTAATTTTGAAGATCATCTCATCATATTAAAGTCTTATTAAAGTAACGATTTGCTATCACAAGAATGGATTTGGTGCTATGAATACGAATTTGGTGAAGATAAGACAAAAAAAAATTTAAAGTTTAAGCTTTACTTTATATACTGTCAAAGTAATTCGGTAAACTACGAGGTAATTCGAAAGTTAAATGAGAAGCATTTATTTTATTTTCAAAATAGAGATTACTTTAATGAGAACGTTGAGAGATCCGTAGCAGCAAGAAGCACTCCCAAGTTTAAACCTGACAATGAATTAATCCAAGAAACGCATAGTATAAATGTTTGGTTTGATAATAACAAAAAAATATAGATTATTAAATCAATAAATATTAAGTATTGAAGTTTTTTTTATTCTAAATTTGTTTTTATCCTTAGTATGTCAGCCTAAGATGAAGATATGAATGTTGAAATGTGAAAAAGAGAACTAGTAGGCATGTAAAAGAGGCATTAATGGTCTAGTTGAGGATAGAGTGAATATTAAAATATGAAAGAGAGAGAGGTGTGATGAATGTGAAGCGGGTATTAAATGTATAAAAGAAGCATCAGAGGTGTGGGATTATAGTGTTTAATGTAAATGTATAAAAAACTTGTAAAAATATCATTGATCAATAAATAAAAAATAATGATTTTTTTTTTATTTAATTAATATTTTAATTGTTAACTGGCAAATCGTTTTTATTACAAAAATTAATGTAATAAACTGATGAAATAAATTTATTTATATATTTAAAAAATAAATAAATCGGGGTAATAAAACCTATTCCAAATTACACATTCGCTAAAGTATTTATAGCCCTTTCAACAAGTAAATCTACATTACTACAATCTACGCTCTCATTTAAAAAAAAGCTTTCATCACTGGTATTATCACTAACTTCAATAACCTTCTTTTTATCTGAATTTTTAGGGTTTGCCTTCCCATCCAATTCCAGTGTTTTTTGAAAAGCCTTACAATTCTTCTTGATTCCACTTACAAGGTAATCAATACGGTATTGACATCGGCTTCCTAATTTAAATAAAAAACATTCGAAATGATAAGCATGCCCACAAATTAGAACACAACCTACCTCACAAGAATCCATGCAGTCCTCTAAGTCACAAAATCGATCATTATATGGAATATATGTCGTATTTCAAGCTATTGGTAATATGTCTATATCAGCTTGAATTTTTAGCATTGGAAATTCATATATTTTCGTTTCAGATGAAATAACTTTTGAACTGCTAATGTTTCTGTAAACATTTACAAAAAAATTTAGTAAAAAAAGAGCAGTATGCTTTTCAAGATATTCTAGTTGCTTTGGTGAATATCTGATATTATGACTTTCGGAAAGTGCATTTGTAAAAGAATTGTTGCCACATATTTGATCGATTATTTGTGCTTCTTGAATAATCTGATCTACTGTGTTTGATTCATGTATCTGTTGCTGAAGTGTGCTGTGAAAATTCTCAATATAATAGTCATTAAAAACGTGAATAGAATCTGTAAGAGTTTGTATAATAGAGTGATTAGTACTGAACCAGTAAAAAACATCACTTAAAAACATCAATGGTAATTTATTATAGTGGTTTCGTTGATATTGATAAAAAACTGTTCAGATGCGAAACATTACCTCCATGTATGCTTCCCAATTTCCACTACGAAATATAATGGGATAAAAATTTAAAACTAACGGAACGATATTATCTAACAAATTAATAAGATATCGAGCTTCTGGGTCTTTAGAACATTTGAATTTTTGTATTACTACAGAACGAACTCGAGACTATCCCTGATATGTTAGTTCTAAAAGTAAATTAATTTTATAAGGCTTTGGCTTTTTTGCTAGTACCTTATTACGTCCAAAAACTGCATGAAAAAGTAAATCAAAAAAATCATAATTTAAAAGAAATACTGTTTCACGACTATTCAAGGATATATGCAAAGGTCCAATCATCGGAATAATATATAAAATCTGCTTCAGTATCCTAGAAGAATCTCTAGATCTAAGATAATGAGTTATAGCACGCTGTATGTGAAGTTGTTCAGGATAATCCATAGGCGCTATTAAAACTTGTGTCTTCATATAAGTGTCTGCTTCAGGAATATTTATTAAAGATCTAAGCACATTTATATAATCTTCAGTTGAATAAAGAGATCCTTTTCTTAAATCTACAAGCCTTGTATTTTCCATGCTTCGATCTATTTGGCGTTGCTCAATTCTATTATCATAGCTATGAATTAGGAGACGTTCAACTCGTTCGTCATGAGTTTCTTGCATAAGCAAATTATTAAATGCATTTTTTTCACCCTGTATAACTAAGCTATAAATGAGGAAAAAAAAGTAAGTTAGCATTCTCAATAATAATGCCTGAATCAATACCATTTTTATTATGAATACTCTTTTCTTGATTAGGATTATTAAATAGAATTGATAGCTTTTCAGGCAATACTTTTAAGAGTATCGTGGTAAAAAGAGCAATATCATATGTGCTAGTTATATCACTATGACAAGATTCATGAATATTATGAAAATCATCGATATTTAGAACAACTAGGCTTTCAATCTATAAAAAAATAAATATGCAGTTAATTAAAAAAAAAAAAAAAAAAAAAAAAAAAAAAAAAAAAACTTATTAATTACATTCTCAGTCAAGAATGTTCCTACTGTTTCTATATGTGCTTATATATGTAGAGCCTTCTGTTTTGCAATAGTTTTACGTCTAACTATCAGGCCTGCACCAGCTAAGGTTTCAATTGTTGATGAAGATACTCCAGACACATCTAACAAAAGCCTAACCTCTGCTTTAATGCCGTTAATGAATTTATTATTAAGACCTGCAAGAAAATAGCAAAATGAAACCAATCTTTTTTCGTTTTTTTTATTAGTCATATAGCTCTTGGTTTGTGGATTTGTTCCGGCCACCAATTGATCAAAAAAACCTCTTAACGATAGTTCAGCATTCTCAAGAATTTTTTTAAACTCTTCAGGATTAAGAATAGGTCTTTCATTATACACACGCTGCCTTGTGTATAACACCCCTGCTATTAATTTAATCTTTTTACTTAGAGGAATTCGCTCTAAAGAAAAAATAATAATATATAAAAGAGCAATCAAGGATACATTAACAATAAAAGCTACCTACTCACCTAATTTCGCTTCATCAAATTCTGCACATACTTTGTGGTACACAGATTCCAATTTCTGAAATTCAGATTCAGAGTAAATAATATCGCCATGTAAAACATATGATCTACTCTGAAATAGCCTTATGTTTTCTTTTGGAATCTTTTCTTTTGCTAGTGGATAATCAGGCGAATTGACATATTCTGAATTGATATCTGTTTTATATAAGCAATATGAGCACATAATTGCTTCTTTTGGTAGGCTAAAAAATCTAATCAACTGTTCTGGAGTCTTTACAAATTTATTCCTTTCTGCTTTTCGAGTAACTAAATAGATTTCATGTTTGGGATGAGAGGAAAAATTAGTTAGTTTAGTCTTCTTTCTCTTGCATTTACGATATATTTATTGTAGTGTTTTTGGCATAAGGCCTTCCCAGCTAAATCTAAATGTTGGCTTGAAGCTAGTATAATTATTTGATCTGTGACGGTTGAAGCACCATAGAGATCATAATCACAGACGACATCATCAAAGCTCTCCAAATCGCAATAACGAGCTTTTCTTTTTCCTTTTTTAGCATTAGGGTTGGCTTCGTAGCGTTTTTCTTGTGTAGACATTTTGCTGATTTTTTTTTTACTAGTGCTAGACTAACAATAGTAGAAGTTCAATGAACAATTTGTTCTTTAATACAATATTGTTACACAACGCTCTTATTTTTATTAACCAATAAAATTCACGAAAATCACGAAATGATCTACAACAAATTAACCAATTACAGAGAAAGCCCGCTATGCTTAATAAATTAGATATATTATTATATAACACAAAATAAGTAAAACAGCAATAATTTAATCAAAATGTATAAGGAAATCATACCACCCCGAATTATGTCAAGATAGTCTTTAAATAATTCTGTAGCATTATTTTTTAATATAGGATTATACACTAAATTGGGATAAGGATCTAGTTTTTTCTCTTTCTCCATTTTTTACACCATTTAAAATTTTTTGAGTTTCTAGATTTTGGTAGGGGATTTTCTCATAAGCTAGCTCCCATAGAAGCATTCCAAAACTATAATAAAATATAAAATTATTAATATTTAAATTTTATTTAAATAATTATAATTAAAAATATATCACCTAAAAATTTCACAACTATATGTATTTGCTACTAAAATTTCAGGTGCCATCCAACGTACTGTTTCATTAAAATTTGATATATCCTGATAGGTACATGCTTTACCTGAAAGACGAGAATGTTTAAAATTTGAGATTTTGGGAGCAAGATCCTTCGTCATCTATAAATTTTATCATGTTAAATCTAATATTTAATTAATTAATAATAATAATATATAATGAGCTCACCAATATATTAACGCATCGAATTTCATAATGAAGAATTAAACATGAGTGCAAATACATTAATCCATTGCAAATTCCAGCAGCTATGAGTATCTTTGTATACATATCAATTTTATAATTTTCATAAACTTTTTTTAACGTTCCTAATTCAGCCCATTCATTTATTATAATATAAGTGTTATCAACTTTTGAAATTCCATAAAAGTGAAGAATATTTGATGATTCTCGGAGATTTTTCAAAATAAAAAATTGATTTTTAAATTGTTCATCTAATGTGCCTTTTGAAATAGTAAAATACTTGCAAGCAACTTCTATATTATTATAAAATTTTTTTTTAATATATGGTTTTTTTCCTCTTAAATTACCGGCCATTTCAATAAAAGGAACTATTAATTTGTCGCAAGTTATTTCTAATGATTCGAAACCAGATGACTGATTATTTATTGAATTTTTTAGGGGTTCTATTGTTCTTGCTATATTTCTAATTTCAATTACTTGATTTTTTATTTCATTAATAAACTAATTGTAAATGTTTTTTTTTTTTTTAGAAATATTTCAATAAATACAGTATAAGGGATTAAAAGATAATATGAAATGTACCTTTGTCATTTCAACGGTATCATGTTCAAAAATTTTTTCGGCATTGTCATTGTCTTTCCATTGTGGCATCTTTTGTAATATTGTTGAAAACTCATTAATAAGTGCGATAAATTCAATTCTAAAATGATTAGAACCTGTTTCCATATAACTATATAATTGTGAGATATCATTCATAAATCTTTCCGTTCTGTTTAGGATTTGAATAAGGGTTTTAGCATTAAATGTTTGATTATTTCTTTGTAAATTTCTAGTAATATTAAAATCCACAACATCAATGCGATCCATTAATGAAATACATATATTTTTATTATATTGAATGTTTTCATAAATTTTTTTAATTGCTGAAATTTTATCAAGAATTGCTTTTAAATTGTCCTGAGGTGTATCCATTCTTACATTTATAAAACGACAATATCAGTTACAGATGTACAGTACAGTACATTAGGATATTAATAAATATGGAAAAAAAATATGTATGTGCAATAATTAGTGATACAGGATTGGTCCCAAAAAAGCTTGGGCAGGTTGGCTCGAGCTGAACTTTAATGATATTTTTAACCTAACGCTAATAAACGTTTAAATCGCCCTCAAAACAGGGTATAATACCAAGGTAAGTTACTATGAAATTTACCATTATAGTTAGTTTTGGCCAACATTAAAACAAAGTGATACTATTTTTTGGTAACTAGAAAATTTTATAAGTTCTCTAATGGCGAAAAATTGACAAATGACATATTTAGGCGGTTTTTATAATCGACTTAATCCGATAATTTTAGTCTGACTAACATCACTAAGCACGTAGCAGTAGGATACGGTTTTATTTTCATACGTTAAAACCGGTTTTAACATGAAAAATTGAAAAAACTGGTTCTGTCGTTAGTTGTGTTTGTGTGGGGTTCCGTCCACTTCATCGACACTCATTTTACTGAATAGGTCATTTCATATTAGCCTGATTTAGGGTTAAGGTGTGTTAGTATTAGCCAATTTTTATCGGTGAAATGATTGTCGGTGAAATGGCTGTCGGTGAAATGACAGGGAACCGTTTGTGTAAGACCTGAATCCACCATTTAATACTGTACTATTGATTTTACTGTGAAGCAGCCTTATTTTTAGTGACAAGTATCATATAATACTACACTATCTCTACATATTTCATATATAACATTAATACTAACCGTTTATTTATAATAAATATTCTTAATGTCTTATTGTTTAGTATACATATTTAAAAATTATAAAGTACATAATTATACTGCACCTTAGAATTTAATAATATTTGAATGGTAAAGCGACTTGTAATTAAAACCTCGTTTAATGTTATCCCCCTCTCTGCTTACGGGTCTCCCCCAAAAATTAAACAATTAATTATAAGCTCCCCTCAAATTAAATAAAATTTCGAAGAAAATATTATTTGGTTATAACTTGAACCTATTGAACCTGATTTGGATCATTCAAATTTCGTTTAAAATTAATGTTAGTTTAATTAACGTTAAATGAAGTTTTAACTTCAAGTCGCCTAACCAATAGTTTAAGCTTTATTTGCGGATTAAGGAATTTAATTTAACAATCCAATATAATTTAAACCTTAATATAATATTACCTCATTAATAAATTTTTAATAATTTTTCGTCTAAACTAGTATTGATTTTAAGACATTTGAGAGCGACTGTTAATTCGCAGTCTTTCCATTTGTATTTGAAAACTGTTCCAAAACCTCCTGTACCAACCACTGTAGGGTCCGTAAGCTTATTATATTGTGAGCACCAAATCCTGTATCCAAACCAGGCCGGCAACCTAACGTGACCATGAATCACATGATTATATTGAGTAATATATCACATATACGTATTGCATTTATGCAATATACGTATGAGATTTAAGGTAGAACTGGCATAAATGTAATAAATTGTATATGAATTTTATATTATAAATAAAGGCCGTGTAGGCCCCATAGAGAAATAACAACTCTCAAGTTCGCATTAAAAATAAATTGAGTTCTTTATTACATAAGTCCTACTACCTAACTCATACTTTCCTTAATTACCCTACCCTTCGATATTCTACTAAGTGGCATAGTAGAGTTATCTTCGTGAAGCCCATAGATTAGTCCATAATTACCGTATCCCCCCGAAGTGATAATTGACCCGTACCTTAGTAGTAGGAAGCTTTAGAACATCCGCCCGCCAAATCTAACCGCCACTTTCGATATGATCGTTCAGTTGCTGATCAAAAATAAGATCGGTTTGGTCCCGGTGACCAAACCGCCTGTTCTCAATAGTCAAGATGATTAATATGTCCATCGGAATAGCCATTACCGTTACTTGTTTTTGATCAAATATATATATATTGTACTTGGTGTACAGCATCTAATTTTTCCATATATGGTGAGTTTTCTATTTGAAGAATACCCATATTGATATTACGCCACAAAATGTCAATAAATTTTTTTTGGAAAATTTTATCATGGGTATCTCACTATCTATATCTTTAAGTTTTGCGAAACATTTTTTCTTTGTTTGGGGTATATTCTTTGTTCTATGCAGTATATAGATTTTTACTTTTTTTTTTTTTTTTTTTTTGTGAACGACTGAAGTTTCCTCGAAATTCCCAAAATGGAAATTTTCATCTTTCATTTTATAATGAATACAATTCGATTTGAATAAAGAATACGTAATATGGTGTAAGATTACAGTGCCATAAGATTTGAAAAGAACATATTTGGTCTTTTTTTTTTATTTTTATTTTTACTTCTAGTTTTAAGCATAATTTATATCTTTCTACGTAGCACTTCAAAGTCGATTAAATACTAGCGCTAGCTATCTCTTATCCAAGATTCGATACTTTATGAAAATTTGTATTACGAAATAAACTCTCCTGATTATGTAGTGCTTCAAAGTACAAAATCTGATTTTAAAAATAGTAATTTACATAAAAAGTTTTTGCAATATAGCTATTATAATCTGAATGCGCTTTTTTTTTTTTTTAATTTTATATAACTTCCTACTAGTATTAAAATGTGGACTTTAAAAGTAAAATTAAATGAATTTATTACTTTGGCAATTATTTTCTTATTGAAAATTTCGGGAAATGTTTGTTTTGGACCAGAAGGTCTAGCAGGTCATGTGGCAGTAAATGTTAGTGATCGAATGTATTTTATGGGAGGCTCTCGCTTTATTCCATCTGCAAATCCAATTAGAAGTTCAATAAGAGTATATAACTTATCGGATGAGGTTTTCGTCTTGGATTTATCATCTCAATTCTCCACTAGTAGCCCACCATATATAGACCTTTCTAATACTTCACGAATGTTATATGGATATGAAAGGGGTTAGTTAGATTTAATACTGTATGTTTTAGCTAATTCTTAAAGTACTTAATATATGTGTTTATATATTAATTAGGTACCGTAGTACTCGGAGGAGCAAGTAGACAAGATATATTTCTAATTGGAGGCGTACAACAAGATTTAGCCATGCTTAATAAAATTGATAATAATGCAACTATTACTTCAAATAAAACATTAATGATAGAAGAAATTAGTAAAACATATAATCAGATAGATAAATTTATTTATTATTACCGTCCAAATGCAACAATTTGGTCTTACCCTCAAAATCAAAGAGGAATAGTACCAACTAGGCGCAGATCAACAGCAACAGTTATAAATAAAAAAGGCGTGATGTATATATTTGGAGGGAGAGTTCAAGTAGACACAGGATCACCTATATTCACCTGTTATAATGACTTATATTCGTTCGACACAGTATTGTTATCTTGGAATAAAATAGATGCAGTTAATGCTCCTCTACCTCAAAGTCATTCTGCTCCAGTATTACTGCCCAGTGGTAAGATTCTTTACATTGGTGGCGTTTCTCAGACTACTCCTGGAACAGATGCAGATTTAATAGATATGACGGATGTAAGTTATTTTCTTTAAATTTAGAATTGATATATAATCGGGAAATATTTATTATAATTCGAGTTTTGATGAATAAAATCTATAATAGATTAGAGTATTTGACACAGTTTCTTCTACTTGGTCATATAAAGTATGTACTTAACTAGTTTTTTTGTTCTTTTTTTTTTTTTTTTTTTAATAATTATCGAAGTAAAATTTCTTAAAATATTTTGCATTTTTAGACTGCGATTTTAAAAGATCCATCAATTTCTATTCAACCACGAATATCACATACTGCAACTTTGACATCAGATAATAATGAAATTATTATAATAGGCGGAAATTCAAGTTAGTAATTTCCCATTTTTTTTCTTAAGAAAATATTTTATCTAATTTCTAATTAATTTTTTAGATTATAATTACAATCTAACTACTGCCACGCCAGTTTTTGTTTCATTAAATATTGCAACTGAAAATTATGAATATTCAGAGCTAATTACTTCTGGAGATAAACCACCTTTATTGGCTGCACATACTGCTAATTTATATCAGAACTATTTAATTGTTGCTTTTGGTAACTATATTATTATTATTATTATTGCAATTATTATCAGTTATTTATTTATAATTAATATTTTACTTCTCTTCAAATTATAATCTTATGTATCAGGAAACATTACTAATTTTGCAACACCACCAACCGAGATTAGCTCTCGCATTTATTTATTAGATATGCCATGCAAAGTATGGGTAACTACTTTTACACCTGGTAAATCAACCTGTAAAATACCGAGCAATGGATTGATTAATAAGGCGATTATTGCTATTATTGTCTGTAGTAGTATTGTTGTTGGTTGTATGATTATTTTTTTAATTTATAGGAATATAGAAAAATTAAAGAATTTTTGAAATAGGATTTTAGAAAGATTAAAGAGACCTACTATGAATACGGCAATTATCCTGCTAGAAAGTCCAAAACTTAATCCAGAAGATATAAATTAATTAGTTTTTATCAGCTGTTTTCTGTTTAATACTTTTTTTTATTTTATTTTACAAAACTCTTTAGTTTGATATGATAAATAGTTAATTGTGAAATATCGCATAATTTATTATATTAGTATGATCATATGAGGGAGTTTAGATTCTTTTTATATTATTTTTTGACATTTTAATTTCAACATGAGTAGTACTAAAATCTCTCTAGTTTGAATTTACTAATTAACCCATCACTTTTAATTGACTTAGCGGAGTATTTATATTATTATTAATCAAATTTTTTCTACTTCGATAGTGAAATGCTAGGGGAAATTAGGGCATCCCCTCTAGTATATACCTAAAAAAAATTACAAAACTGTCTCTCTTCGTTGAATATTAGAAAATATCATAAAAGTCTATTTAACTATAATTTGAATGTGAATTTTAAATAATTTGGTCATATATCCTTATTAATCAAAGACACCGTAGAAATGGTATAGGCTATAACAGTTTATAATACCATATTTCTAATATTAATTTTTTCGATTATGATATAATCTTTGCAAAATTAAATATGCAATTAATAATTGATTTGATTATTCTTTTCTTAAAATTATTTATCTGTGCTTGCAAAAGAAATAACTATATTACAAAGAGTTTTTCTCATTTTTTTTTCATCATTTTAAATTTAATTGATTATTTCTCTAAACTTATATAATCAATAATTAGAACGAAAACTTTTTTTTAGGAGAATACTATGTTCTTGTAAGTACTATATGTAGATTTTTGTTTAGCATTAAAACCATTAATTTTTTTGAACTAAAGAAGAATACAAACCTGACTTATGAAGACATACATTTTAATTGGTCGTGTGAATTTTTGCTTCGGTATTTAGAATATATATATATATTTTTTTAATATTCTGTGATATTAAATTATACTTTATCGATAACTTTAGATTTATCTTTCCCTATTAATTTTTTAATTTGAAAGAGTATTTAATTACTACTTGTAATGTATCAATTAATGTATTTATTATCCCAACCACATCCAATTTCTATTCTCTAGTGACAATTTTACTTTTTATGACCTACAAAAAGATAGAAGTTAGTTTCAACAAAAAGGAGAAAAGAACATTTATAAGAAAAATGAAACTGGTACTAATCATTGGAACAGTTTCCGAGCAATGTCTAATCTACATTACTAGTATATCTCAAAGATTTTACTTATGGCTACTCTAGTAGAGCACTGATTCAAAGTTAAAACTTAGAACTCTCACTGCGAGATTTGTTCTTCATATCTTTGATATAATTAGATTCTGAAATGTTAGTAACCTTTGAACCTGACATCCTTTACCATTCACGTATTAATTATTTTCCAAACTTTCCATTAGTTGGTATGTCACATGTCCATATATTTGTGCCCCTTCCGTCAGTTCACTCACATGATGTAGATCACTATATTAAAAAAAATATATATATATATTTTTTACGAACTTTTACCAGGTTTCTGATTCTTTTTGTATTAAAAGCTTTCTGATATAGAAAACGAATAAAATCGGAGATTGTTACCAGAATGGAATTTTAGTTAAAAAAGATGAATAGAAAGCATTTATTTTTTATCAAAAATCTGCTGATATATTTTTTTTCTTAGGGTAGTATTTAGGATCAAGAATAGGATAGTCTAGCTAAGACGGTCTTGATATAGGCACATAGTAGCCTTCTACAAATCCTTAGAATATGCTCTTGCTTAGGCAATCTATTCTTCATGAAGGAAAACTTACTATTGCAGCAAATCGCACCTGGGCACTTAAGGCAGCCGAGTGAGTCCTAAATTATATAAGGAGGACAGTTTTGTAGTTAAATTAGTTTAGCTTATATTCTTGTTATAACATTTTT